TCGAAGATATGAGCTAGTGCTTTTTATCAAGGACCTTCACTGGAACGAGTTCCAAGGGTGTGGGGAATTAGACAGATTTACAATTTGGAAAATCAATTCTGTGGCTTTACAAGCCGGTACATACACGATTACCAGGCTCGCCAGAAAATGAGACTAAATATTTATAACCATAGGTCGGCAAAATAAAAAGACGCCTTCATTAAATAACTTTTTTTTTTCGCATAGGACTCACAAGGACCCAGACTAACCAAAATTTTGTCGAATTGAACTAGGAACTCGCTCGAACTCAGACTCACCGTGGTAAAACTCAGCCGGGCTCACTCGGGCTGAAGCTTACCTAAGTATAACTCAGCCGGACTCACTCAGACTCTGACTCACGCCTCAATCGGAGTCTTTCAATTCCTCTGATAGACTCATCAGTGAGTCTGCCGACTTATAATCGGAACACATCTCTCGTTCATGTCACGCTTTGATGAAGAACTTTTGTGTGCATTCATGATGGTGAAATATGGGAGAATGAGGAAGAGTGGTTGCTATGCCCACATATGACGATAATAGGGATGATATTTACTGATCTACGGAAGAAGAAATCAACGAAAAACACGAATGCAGCGTAAGAACCAGAAAAGACAAGTGCTGAGCTTAAAACTAAATGTTAATAAAGAAAGCCCCTACAAAAATTAACCAGAAGCACATGCTTAAAAAGGCTATCTAAACCACAGTTGCACAATTAACCGTACATTTTTTCCAACAAATGTTTTAAGGTGGTGGTATGAAGCAGTCGATATCCATGGAACACCAAGTTATCAACGCCAAGTTTATCTGTGAGGAAAGCTGGGGGATTACTCACACATGACACTTCGCTCTGTTTTTATTTCGAAGGCTTCATGAGTTTCACGTTCAATCTTTTTTTTTCCGTTGCAAATGACATTCAATAATTTGAAAGAAATTACTTTGTCATGTGGCCGTGTCTTCAGAGATCAGACGGGTCAAGGCCTAGTGACACCTATAGGCAGTGTAAACATCCTTCAAGCACAAAACTGACCTCTTCGCTAGTCTCTGCGTCCCCAATATATGAGTGTCATCGGCAAAGGAAGAAATAGATTGCACGTGTAAATATTGAAGCCTTAAAAAACAAAAAAAAAAGGCAAACTGCAACGCATAAGTGATCCCAATTATCCTTACAGCTAAATAAGGGATTCACGTTGCTAGGTAGCGGGTGCACGTGTCGTTAATCATGGAAGTGTGCTGTTTGTACCATTTTAACACGCTTTTTGCCTTTGTATAGTGTTAGGTGTGCAGCTTTGGAACACCTCAGCTTATTTTTCATGAATGCGCTTCTGGTACATGGGTTTGTGGGCTTTCTGCCATAAACATTTCGCTTGATGTCCTGTCAGGTTGAGCTCCTTAGTTTGTTCTTCCAAAAATATTACAAACCAACTGGCCGAGCAAGCTAGATATGTGGTGTCCTTTTTGAAATACAGTTGTAACAAATCGGCATCTATAGTTAGTTGAATTAGGTCCGAGATAAAAACTGATGAAGGAAACGCTAATTACTTGGTTTGATAGCGAGGCGTGGAGCATCGCACATTGTGCAGGACAAAGCACGTTGAAAATACAAGCCCACACTTAAGTGTTTTGTCGGCATTTATCTTCTGTGCGTTACTTCACAATTTACAAAAACTTAATTTATGGTGATCACCATTTCGTTCAATATTGTTGATCTTGCTCAACCTGCCGATACAATGGGGATCGTTTATGTTTGATAGAGCATTTTGTATAATAATTGTCATTTTACCTTTCCTTATTCATTAAAGGCCATGCATGTGGTCCAGTTTCTTAACTGATTTTTTTTTTGTTAATATGCCCTTAACAGCTAGCCCCCCCCCCCCCCTCCTCAGTTATAACAATATCTTCCATACGCATCGCCTCTCTACCTTGTCCGTTCCCAGTTCTGGCCCCCACCCTTCGCATTAATTTGAACTGCCTTTGTTCTTCGACTCGCTTGCACAGTCATAATTATGAATATTCCAGTACCGACTTTCCACACATTTAATCAATGTTCAAAGCCTGCCTCACATATTACATATTCTTGTCAGCTAGAATATGTCGACAGTCATCGCCAAACACCACCGTTGCTGCTGTCACTGACCGGGATTTGCTGAAATATAGTGAACTCAAAAGTACTTTAAAATTCACGTTTAAATCTAATTCAACATTATTAGGAGCCCTCGACAAGCTTTTTCTTATAGTCCACTTATTTAACTTGAAATGGCAGGTGAACCAATTTCGGTGCGTTTGCAAAGTGGACAGAATTAAGGCCAGACTGGTGACAGAAGATGCAAAATAAACGTAGGTAAGCTGAAAAAAAAAATCTGTTTAAATGGCGCGCCAAGAGAACGCGTAGGCGGCGGCGGCGCGCCGATCGGGTGGCGTCGGCGTAACAAAAAACTTTTGGCGGCGGCACGTGAACCCCTCGGCGCACACCGCTACTCGCAACTTGCTGAATGGTTACGAAAAGTTATGTTTATTACAAATGTTGACTGCGATATACTTGTTTCTCCCAGTCTTTCACCAGCCACTTTTTTTCAACTTTTTTTGAGCTGTGCAAATATCCGCATATACATGCAGCTTACTGCTCTGAGCGAGCGGAAACTTTGGCGACCTTGACGGAGCCACATGGCTCCACGGGTACCACGGGGATTTGCAACGTGACAGCGTTCGCAAAGAAGGGAAACCGATAAAAAACCACAAACAAAAAATAACGACGTGGGTGAAGGGCGAGAAAATGAGAGGTTGGTGTAAAGGAAAACGTATACTTGGCGGACTCTGAGGGCGCTTTTTCTTTCGTTCGAACCGGGATTCAGGCACTCGACGTCGAACCACAGAACAACTAGTCGAACACGGACGGCACAGAATGAACCACAATAAAGCAGGGAGAGGGGTGCGCTGACACCATGTAGGAAGGAGCCTGCCACCGCTGGGGGCGGAAACCGGCTCTGTCGCCCCTTTGCACCCCTCGGAACCGCTACTGGGCCATAGCCTCCTCTATGACCCAGTAGCGGAGGCTATGACTGGGCATGGTACAGCGCTTTTGGGTGAGTGTAGACTGTAGAGGGGGTGTGAAAGAGAAAAGGGGGAACAAGGAACAATATTTTGCCGGGCAACTACTTCGGGGTCCAATGAGTTAAGCTTCTCCGCTCTACTGCACCATTGAGCAGCATTTGCACTCTCCTTCTCCATGGCTATACCACAGTGACAAACGCCAGTCAGAGGCGCTATCAAGCGACTCTAGCGCAGTGTCACATGGCGACTGCACAGGGAAGGCGCGCACGTCGGCGTCCATATGTCTACCAAGGCTATGACGGCACTCCTCTGGAAAGCGCACCGGCGGCGGTGAGTCGCGCGCGGCCGCGGCCGAGTGCAAGGAGGTGCCGGCTCCGGTGCGTGACCCCACTGATCGTCTGCGCAGCGCAGCGCGCACACCGGCGGCGAGCCGCGCGCGGCGGCGGCGGCGGAGTATCATTGCGCATGCGCAGACCAGTGCCACGCAAAATTGGCTCAGCGAGGCCAGTGTAGCTAACGCTACAAAAACGAGGTGGGCGGGAGGTCCCGCGTGTCCCGCCCTCGATCTGATTGCTTCACGTGGAAGCGACAAAGTTCTCTAGATGCTGACAAATTTTCCTTTTCCCCTAAGTACAAGCAAAATGATTTAGATCTAGGGAAATTTCTCTAGAGTTGGCAGCACTGCCAGAGCCTCTGCTGTCTGGCCAGACATCGAAGCGGTCATTATTACAATAAAATTACTTAGCTGAAGTGTAATTTTCAATGGATCATTAAATGGTTCTGACTTCAGCGTACATTTTCAGCGAGAATATGCCAATCTAATAGGCAATAAGCTCTCTGTTCAGTGTGAAGAGCATCCCAACAAAAGTTTCAAGTCAAAAGTCCTGGGCAGTGTCCTAGACTTCACTGGCAACTAATGCAGAAAGAAATTTGCCTGCATAGCATTCTTAATGCAATGCTCTCGTTTCTCGTAGCACAATACCAAAACCCAGTGTTCAAATTTCAGTGTTTCATTGATTGTGTGACTCTTAACTCCCCTAGTGGTGTTTTGACTTGAGCTTTGCCTGAAGGATTTGGCCAAAGAAGGCATATTGATGCTTACTTCGTAGTTCATGCTGTTACTTCAAAAATTTTGGAGGAGCACATGCTACAACTCTAACCTCAGAGGTTATGGTAAAGCATTAGAGGTGGCAAACCTTTTGGGAGCCTTGCCTGCACCATTTTGCTGTGCACATTTAACTTCGGGTTTTTTTTTATTTAGCGGGAGCCCATCACATTAGTGCTGTGTGTGCATACTTTGTCATGTGGCTACTCTCTGGAAATCTGCTGGCCCTTAATTATTACATTCATAGTTGTTTTTGCACATAATGTGTTCATTGAAATTCTTGTACATGTGTGCAATATTCCTCAAAATGGAATACACCTTGGTGTGACCCGACAGTGGTGCAGGTGCAAGAGCTCTTGCATTTATTTTGCTAAGAAATTGATTGATATGTGGGGTTTACTGTTGCTACGAAATTACATGCTGAAGTAACATCTATGAACTTAGGATGCAGTTGAGTAAATTATAGTGTTGAATGAGACTGGCAGAATTTCACAACTGATAACACTATTCTTTTTTACGCTACCCCATTCCTCTATCTGTTCCTGCATGGCACTAGCTGGGTGAACAAATAGGCCAACCCATTTTTTTGTTTATTTTGGCAGAGTTGCTAAATGACTGGAAGGCTTTTCTCACAACTTCTTCAACTTATCATATTCTATGAATTAATGCTATATAAAAATATATTGCTGTTACCTTTACTTAGTTATAACAATGGTAAGCTGCTATATTTGTTAAAAGTCCAGTTAGCCAACAGACTATTAGTCACGCTGGTCAAAATATTCTGAATTTTTCTTTTAAACCAAACTACAGGTAAAAAGCTTGCAGTCTGTTTCTAGTGCATCTTTGAAGTTTATTCAATATTGATTACATATTCAGAATATAAACATTTTAGCACAGAAAAAGGTCCCATAGTGTAAACACTGTAGGGGGACCCTGTAAAAATGTTAAAAGAAACACTACTTGACAGTAAAAATTTTAAAAAAGAAACTGCAAACTAATAAAGTACAATGTAAAATATCAAAACCATAGACAATTCAAATATTTAGGTAAAAAGCAAAACATATGGAAAACATAAAACAATAGGTATTATAGCAGAATACAATGCAAACACTAATCAGAACAATCAAATCAAAGTTGTGTTTGTTAAACATTCAATAAACGGTATGAATGTTTTACCAATGTTGCGAGCAACACAGGAAGTGATTTGCAATATTCATTACTCACACAGGCCAGGCTAATAATGGGGGTTCTGAGAAAGAAATATCAGCAGTGAAATGTAGTTTTATAAGTTTTTAAAGGGCCTGTTGAAGGACCGTTCATTTGGCAAAGGCTGTGGTGATAATGCTGCAAAGGTTGCCAATGTCTTGAGCTATATGTTCAAAAATTAAGTTATCAAGTTATTAATAATAGCATCAATGCAAGCAACCACTACTTCTATCCAAAATTTTCTACTGGACCTGTAGTGCGGAAGTGGCAATCCTGTAAGGTCAAGCTACTCTTCAAGAAACACTGAAGGCATTATATAAATTATTTCATCACCTTCACAAGTACCTTTTCAACAGACACAGACCACATAATCAATTCTATCATAGAAGAATTCCTTCAATTGATCAACTTCAGGCATGGCTTTCATATTGGTTCCTTCCCCTATGCAAGTTACAATGTTACTACATGACATTCGCCAATTTCTCAGTTGCAGAATTTATTGTCATGGATTTTGTCTTGGCAATCAGCAGTTTTTTTAATTATCACTTAATTCTTCTTTGATCTAATTTCTCTAACCTAACAAAAACATATTTGGCGAGAGTGTGCAAATACTAGCCAGTTTTGAGACCAAATATTTCTTCTGGTGAGTTGTGATTAATGTATGACATTCTTACTACTAATATAATGTTCACATCCTTGTTTAACAGCATTAGGAAGTGTCTATAATTACTGGGCATATTATAATTCCTGCTTTATTAAATGTAAGAAAGGAGCATTAGCAGCAATTAAGCACCTTGTTCACAGTTACGACCTACATATGACCATGCGTTATCATGTACAGTAAAAGCTTGTGAACTCAACACTCGCTAAATAAAAAAAAATGCGTAATTCCGACATATTCTCTGGTCCCAGCCAGTGTATACACTGTTTATTAGCACCAAAATTTTGTTGACCCGCTCATATATGGCTGCAAGTCGGGTTATTTAGACATTTCTCTGAGCACAGAGTGCCTTAAATGTGCAAGGCAAAAGCATGAAAAATGATGTTCACAGACAGCTGAAATGGCCATGGGCTTTTACAAAGATGTGGTCACTACCCAAAATTGTGTCTTTTGTATATAATAAGGTATTGGTTCAGAGCAGGTTTCAGATTGAGAAACGTGGGCCTTTAGCTGCGTTCACATATTGAACGAAGTTGCAAGTGATGGATGTTGTGGCTTCTACACTTCTCATATGCAAAATATTTACCTTTATATATTTTTGTAAAAAAATAAAGTGCATTGATTTAATACTTTTTATTTATTGTTTTTGATATTTAAACCATTTGGCATTCAATTAATTGAGACAGTTTTTGCAGTCTCCCGAAATCCAAATGAACAAGCTTTTGATGCACAGTTTATGAAGGTAATTTTGCAGGCGAATTATCACACATGCATGCACACACATACACAAACTGCAGATACGTGAACACACACACAGAAAGACATAGACAGAGTGTGCATGCTAAGAATTTGTTTTGCATTGCTTCCAGACTCAGATCAGAAGTATTTAGAAATATGTACATATTTACAATCAAATAAAAAATACATGTCCACAGTGACGGCAAAGCGAGGAAAAAAAATTGCTTTTCCACTAGTTCAAATGGCTGTGGCAGATGGTGTTTTCTGCATCGTGTATATTGCATTAAAACGTGTCTTCTCATTAGGTTACATGAATACAGGTGCAGTGGTTGTAAATAGTACGAAACAGTACCCGTTGCCAAATGCTGTGTCTAGACAGAACTTTATAGTGAGCCATCATATTTAGCTGGGAAATCCTAAAACATGCGTGCTCCAGAGCAGGTGCATCGCGCACTGTGTATTGAATGAGAAGTATTCTATATTTACCTCAGTATGTTCTATCACAATATTAGGCAAGGGCTTATCAATCAGCTGCCCACTCATTAAATAATCATGTGCTTTTTTTAGCCAGCTGGCCAAGTGCTCCACTTTTGCTGTCATGGCTACAAGTGGCACTGACTAACACTCCCGCGTTCGCGTGCACATAAATACCCCTTAAGGTGGCTGAGGGAATGACTGCCACTCTAGCTCAATTGGCAAGACTATTGGGTGCATAGTCCGATGGTTGTCAAACAGACAACTGTCAAACAGTTGTCTGTCCACTTTACTTTCTTCACATCTATTTGACAATTATCACAGTATACTTAAGGTGCAATTGGCATCTCCATTCCTTCCTCGGCTTCATTATCTGCTGGTTTTAATTAAAATTGTGTCAGAACAAGTACATAATCTTGTCAGGGGCAGTTAGCTTTTATTTTATATTTTTTAAATTTTTTGCACCTTTTCAAATTTTTTTTTAGTTTAGAACAGTCACCAAAACCCATTGTTATCGTTTTCATTAGAGCACGTTTGCTTTCCATCATATATTCTCCAGACTTTCTGCGTAGCACCGCTCCCTTGCCCCCCACTTCTTAAATTCCAAGACAATGATCCATGTCACCTGCTCAAGAGCCGCACTAACACTGTGTTATCACCTCACGAAAACATCAAGATAACCGTGCTTTTTTAAGCATGCACTTACATTTGAAATAATCTTTCCAGCCCAGCTATGTCACTCCCATCACAAGCAATACCTTCAATACTACTGAAAGAGTTGCCAACCATCAATTCATTGCCTGCCCCGCCGCGGTGGTCTAGTGGCTAAGGTACTCGGCTGCTGACCCGCAGGTCGCGGGTTCAAATCCCGGCTGCGGCGGCTGCATTTCCGATGGAGGCGGAAATGTTGTAGGCCCGTGTGCTCAGATTTGGGTGCACGTTAAAGAACCCCAGGTGGTCGAAATTTCCGGAGCCCTCCACTACGGCGTCTCTCATAATCATATGGTGGTTTTGGGACGTTAAACCCCACATATCACATATCAAAACCATCAATTGCCTAGCTGAAAGCACAATTTCTGCCGTTCTTTTGGTCATGCCCTATCACCACATCTCTTCAACAGAACACCTTATCACCAGATCTTTTTGACAAAACACTTTTGAAGTCTTGCAAATAAGAAAATGCAGAGGTTACTAAAGTCAATTACGTGGTAAATGCTTTTTCCTTTATCAGTCATAAAATTTCACTCTGGTAGGCACAATAATATTTGCCAATTTTATTGAAGGTGTCCAGCCCCGCCACAGTGGTCTAGTGGCTAAGGTATTCGGCTGCTGACCCGCAGGTCGCGGGATCGAATACCGGATGCAGCGGCTGCATTTTCGATGGAGGCGAAAATGCTGTAAGCCTGTGTGCTCAGATTTGGGCGCACGTTAAAGAACCCCAGGTGGTAGAAATTTCCGGAGCCCTCCACTATGGCGTCTCTCATAATCATATGGTGATTTTTGAACGTTGAACCCCACATATCAATCAATATTGAAGGTGTCCAGCGGAGAAAGGCGGCTTCTTTATTAACAGAGTTCTTGTCCAAATTGCTCTCTTAGTCAAGTTTTTTGAACTGAAAAGAAAAAGATTACAGTAAAAATGTTATTTACATCTTTGAAAGTATTGAAACACCAGTTACAATGTGTTTATCATGAGTAAGCCGAAAGTGGGGGTTTTAGGTAAAAAGTTTGTGAAGTCCAGAAACTGCACTAACTTTTTATGCATCTGTTCTTTTGAGGTGTCCTTTTTTCCAACTTGTGCTTTTATCCCTCTCAGGCACAAATGACATACTGTCTGTAAATACGTGTAATTCGCAAACTATTCCAAAGCACTCAATATTCTATTGCTACTAACAAAAGGGGGTAATTCATTGATTTGTTTCTTCTTCAGTAATTTATTTTAATTACAACATAATAACCTATTTATTTTATAGCCAGTCCTGTCCTGTGTTTATATAAGAAGAATCTTATCTCAGGCTCAAAGTACTCGTGCAGTTTATGACTGGTTATACTAATTTCAAGGAAGTTAACAAAAATATGCTTTTGATGAAGCTCCTGCAAATCAGCACAAGGGACATAGTACTGCCTTGTGCAAAGTGATCATGTACAGCACAATGAAGTTAAATGAAGATACATTGCACAGGAGGTTCAAGTCATTCAAAGCAATGCTTTTGTCCACTAGCTGACACAACTAGCATAAACTAATTGCCCACAAACATGTAGCCACATGAACGTAGCCACCACCGATGAGACGATATCAGTCAGTCACTTAACTGTGGTGTTGATTAGGAACTAAATTTGATAAACAGAGCTCTAAACCTGCAAGAGTAATAACAAACATGCCAGTTTATATACTTGACGATCTGTTGCATAGCATTTGCTCAGTACTCAGAATCACATTCCAATGTGGGAAAAAATGCAATAGTCATAATCGAGATTTATGTGCACACTAAAGAAAAAGTAATTTTTATGTGGTTGGTCAAAATAATTTCATAGGTAACGCTTACACGCCAAAGTCTGCATATCCTTACAGCACGTTTCAGTCATTTATTATGCATCCTAGGTGACCAATTTAGTTGATGCTAGTTAGTCTTTAAAAGATTTAATCATAGTGATAGAAGGACACCAAGATTATAAGAAATACCATTTATTGATGATTTATAATTAGGATGTTTTCATTATATGTGATGAGGCTATGGCACTTCCAACTTTGTTAGCGTTACTGTCTCCCACACCAAGGAGAAAAAAAACTACAGCACAAACTGTATTATCTGTTTGTCAGTGCCCTCTAAACGCAAGAACGTCATCTAAACGTCAAGCATCTAAACGCCAAAAATTAAACACACTGGCCTACACAAAGGAAATTTTTTTTAGGAAACCATCTGCATTGTAAAAAAACATGGTTGCTTGAATGTGGTGCATTCTTAAGGGTGCTCTGTTTTGCCTGACGAGAAATGCACTAGTGGCATAGTGACTGAAGCTCTAATTCAGCCATCAGAACATTTCAAACATTCTTGTTTATCACGGGCGCGCTGTTACTTGTGTGTTTTTAACATCACTCATAGTTACGCATGCCACTGAATCCACCGATGATGTGCAACACCGATGCCACTTAATACCACATAATGTGTCAGTTGTACCAAAAAGCAGAGTGTAAATGAACAAATGACATCTGCCATTAAAAATAATAATAAAAATCTCAGCCAACCTTCTGGTGCAGATTGTTGCAATCAGTGCACTTTGGGATTGACCAAAATCAAATTAACTAAGAAACTGGATGAAACCAGTTGCTCACTTCCTGTTAGAGCACAGCAATAAAAAGTCACACGAAATGCGTAAGCAAACTTTCAATTTGGCATCATTTATTATGAGCGAGATCAGTGCTCTCTTTACTCATTTATTTTTGAAAACCATATTTGACCATGCCCTATAAAACTGCAAAACTGACTACAACCAGAAATAAGTGCCAATAACTTCTAAACCATGCAGATTTTTATATAGATTTTTTAGCTGCAATAGAGACGTGGGCAACTAAATAAGAAGGACATGTGATAGAGTGCTCACATAGAGAAAGAGTGAACAATCTTGTTGTAGGTGCCCAGAAATTAGTAGTAAAGAGCAGATAAACTTAACGGCATTAAATTATAGAATTCTATTAATGAACATATTTATATGTTTATGTCACAAATAAGCTCAACTTGATCAGTCAAGATGCAAATGACGAGTTTGTGGAAGTGCAATAAATTTTCAGTGCTCCAAAACATGTGATACTAGCAGCGACACAAACATGGTACTTCTAATAAAATTAGTCTACTATTTTCAGCATCTTTTTACAAAAAACAGTAAGCTCATCTAGCGAGAGAGAAACAAAACATTGCCATCATTAACATTTTTTACCCTAGCTTAATAATAACAAATTGGCTAATTAGAAAGAAAAAAATATACATATCAGTAGGTCATACTGTGCTCGGTTATTGGTGCACTTGTCTAGGCACTCTTCTGGCATGAAAGGAAGAAACGTAGCTGCAGCAACTTTTCTTGATGCAGCAATTGCAGGTATGTTATAGTTTATAACTTCTCTAAACTCGGAACTCGTCCGTATCTTTCCCCAGAAATGAATTGGAAAGGGAGGAAAAACAACATTTTTCTGGACAGGACATTGCTGTTGTAGTAGTGTAGATCATCTGCGATGAAATAAATCTCGGGGATGTACGTTCATTGATAAACTTTTATTGATGAACTTTATTTTATACAAAATATGTGTGAAAACACATATCAAAACAAAAATAACCTTGCATGTGTCACTGGAATGCAAGTTTTTGAATCTGCAAAGGAGGCGGATGCATCAATCCAAACAATTGATGTGACCTTTGGCAAAAAGCCTGCTGCAGCTGAAGCTTCCATGAAGCAGCTTGCTATGCTATCTACAGGCCTCTATGTAACAATTTGTAATTATACATTTAATATAGTTTGCACATTAAGAAGTTTAGCATGCATTACCACCCGATGCAAGTTGGAAATATTAAAAAATATGCCTGGTTAGAATTTTTGTCTTTAAGTCAATAATTTTGTCCATTTCATTAAATGTGTATTGAGAATAATAATCTTCCTATAGATGTGCAAAGTAAAATAATTAATTTGATCCAATAAACGTGTTTTCATATAGAAAAACAAATGAGACCCTTTTTTTTTCACATTACCTTTTGACTGGAATATTCCATCTTACTAGATCTGCAGATCTGCGCAGTCACCTTCATCCACTTCGCTTTTTTTAGGGACTAGAGAGTTGTAATGCTCTCCCTGCAGATCTACGCAGTCACCTTCATCCACTTCGCCTTCTTTAGGGACTAGAGAGTTGTAATGCTCTCCCATCTCATACAAGCATCTGTGGTAGCTGCAGCAAAATTTTAATTAGTATGTACAAGGCCTACACTACAGCCGAAATGTTAAAGGCACATTAAAGAGTAACATATCGGTACAGACTCCTTAAGTGTTATTTCAAAATGCTATTTCCATTTCCTTGGCTGAAAAATATCGACCCTTAGTTAAGCAAATGCAAGAAAAATATCAGTTTGAATTTTGCACAACAGCCATTGAACTAATGTGTGACACGAAATTTACTTTTTGCACATTTTATGCTAGAAAAAATGCACAAATTCTTTACTATTTTTCTAAAACCGTAGAATCCCATAAAGATGAAGTCATAGAATCCATGAAAATCTAGAAGCTTGTCTGAAGTTAAAGTGGTCCACAAAAACTCAAATTACCTGCCACAGCGGTCTAGCAATTATAATGCTACACTACAGACCTGAAGGTTGCAACATTGAAACCTGGCAACGGCAACCACATTTATGATAGAGGCAAAAATGCTTGAGGCCCATGTACTTAGATCTAGATGCACATTGAACTCCAAGTGAATGAAATTTGGTAGTCTTCCACTATAGCGTCCCTCATTGTCATATCGTGGTTTTGGAACGTCGAACAATAGCAGTTATGAAAAATCTTAAATTAGTGAATGGTGCACCCAAATTCCCACAAAGGAAACCATGAAATGGCCATTGCGCAAAGCATTCGTTTATGCGCTCTTGCTTATACCTCTGCATTCTAACTCTTATGCAGTTTGAAGTTTATTTAAATCAAACTCTCCAAAAAGTTTTCGTCGAACATAGCATAATATTAGAAGGCACACGTATAAAAAAATATTAAAAAATTTGTATAATGCAAAGCATTCATTTGTGCACTCATGCTTAAGCCTTTAACTCTTAAAAACACACTGAAAAATTTCGATCAATCATAGCAGAAAAATAAGTGTGGAGTGTCGCGTTTCGTAGAAAATGACAGCAATATGCATACGTAGGAAGTCTTGTGCGGCAATGTGATTTCAAATAAAGCACAGTTGAAAGTCCAGCGTTCGTCTGTGTGGACTGCCTTCTTCCTGTGTACATATTTGTTTATTCACTGGCACCCCATTTTAAATTCATGATTCCCGAACTAGCCCAACAGATGAATCAAACACTCGTTTCATAAGTTAACATGCCACACTAAAAAATGATGGAATATACTAGATGCTCCAGCTTTCTCTAGCCACAGGTTACAAATATGCCGACGCTCTCTATTGCTGACAAAATTTAACAACTATGTGCTTTTCTTAATTGCCAATTTGGGTACATTTAATTAAATCACTTTTGAAGCAACAAAGCTGGACAATAAATTCCAATGAGAAAGTTGTAGATGATTTTGCAAAACATCCTTAGACTGATTGTAACTTTGTCAATCAGATATTTGTGTTTTTATGCTTACTACAACAGATGCCGCTCAAAAATCTACCATGTCACATGCTCGCTTGCACACCTATGGGTATAATTAGCACAGTACTCTCCAATGTTTCTGTTACATCGTTCGTCGGTCTCTGCGCGTTAGCGCAAGCGAAGTAGACACAAGCTGACAAGCTGGTAGAATGGGCGTTTATTTTCAGTGTACGTTGCAATATAAAGACTCAAAGTAAAGAGGGAAAGGGAAACAAGGTAAGTGAAACAAGAGATAGAAGCTTTGGCTATAAATGAGCCACAAACTGATAAGGGTTACACTTCAGTTACAACACTTCTCCATCAATAATATTGGAGACGCTGCACAGGTTTCCGCTGTCAGGTTGAGCGCCGGAGTTCTGTGGTCACATGTCTCCGAACAAGGCCCTCTGGCGTCTCCACTGTCACCATCCTTGCTCCGTCGGCTGACTTTACCGTACCGGTCTTCCACTTTTCACCCTTGCCAAAGTTGCGGATGTAAACATTCGTGTCCGGTGCCAGGGTCCACTCATCTGATTCACCTGATCTTCCTGCAATCAAGGGAGCAAAGCACGTGTCCAGACGAGATCGAATTTGGTAGCCCAGGAGAAGCTCCGAAGGAGACTTGCCCGATGCGAGGGGTGTTCTCCGGTAATTGAAGAGTAGTCTGCAAAGGCAATCTTCTAATCGGCCCTGGTTAATCTTCTTCAGCCTATCTTTCACGGTTCGAACAGCTCTCTCTGCAAGGCCATTGGACTGGGGATGAAACGCAGCCGTGCGCAAGTGAGTTATGTTGTTCTTATTCATGAAATCGGCAAAATCTTGACTTGTGAATTGCGTTCCGTTATCTGAAACAAGGGTGCGCGGAATGCCGAACCTGCTGAACAAGCTGCGCAGGCAAGTTATAGTCGAAGATGTGGTCGCCTGCTTCACTGGTACGGCCTCGATCCATTTGCTGTGAGGATCTACAAGAACAAGGATCATGCTTCCATTTATTGGCCCCGCGAAATCTACATGTACTCTTGACCAGCTTTCCTGGCATGTCGGCCAGCTAACTGGCGGGGCAGATGCCGGCATTGGTCGATTTTGAATACAGCTTGTGCACCTCGCCGACATTTGTTCGATGTTGTTGTCCATTCCAGGCCACCAGAAAGCCGACCGAGCGATTGCCTTCATCGCCGATGATTGTTGATGAGTTTCGTGGAGCATGTGCAACATTCTATGCTGCACGCTGTCTGGAATGACAAACCTACGGCCCCAATAGAGCAAACGGTGGGCCAGCGAAAGCTCGAGTCTGCGGTCAAAAAAAGGGAGTAATCTTCGTTCTAGTGCTTTAGCACTTGTAGGCCACCCATTCCTTGTGTACTGCACAACCTTGGCCAGCACTGGGTCACTGGCGATTAGCGCCTGCAATTCCGCTGTTGAGACTGCACTCTCCTGTACGGATGCCAGGGCCAAAATGTACTCAAGTGGCTCGCCGTTCGCGGTTGGCTCAGAAGTTTCTCGTGGCAACCTACTGAGGGCGTTCGCGTTCAGGAGCTGCTTGCCTGGAGAATACTGCAGCTTGTAGCGGAATCCGCCCAAATACAGCGCCCAGCGCTGGCAGCTGCCAGCGGTGGAGTTGGTCGATCCGATCTCAGCAGGCCCAGGAGCGACTGGTGGTCTGTGACGAGTATGAATTCTCGGCCTAGAAGATAATCACGGAACTTCATTACTCCAAATACCAGGGCTAACGCTTCTCGTTCAAGTTGTGAATAATTTTGTTCTGCTTTCGACAATGTTCTCGAACGGAACCCAATAGGCTCGTTCCTGTTCCCTTTTGTGTGAAAAAGCACTGCGCCGATGCCTCTTTGCGATGCGTCGCACTCTAGTTTCAGTGGCTGTGAAAGGTCGTAGTGCACTAACACCCGTGCCTGCAGCAAACACCGTTTTGCTTTGTCAAATGCGGTTTGCTGTTCTTCTGTCCAGTCCCAATGTCTGTTTTTTTCCAGTAGCCGATACAATGGAAAGAGCAGAGACGATATGTTCGGCAAAAATTTTGAGTAGAAACTGATCATGCCAAGAAACGAACGAAGCTCGGCTACATTTTTCGGGCTGGGAGCATCAACGATTGCTTCGATATTTTCTTCTATTGGGTGCAGCCCTTGCTGATCGATTCGATGGCCAAGATAGGTAACAGACGCCTGCGGAAATTTGCATTTATTAAGGCGTAGTTTAACACCACTCTCCCGGAAACGTTGCAGAACGACTTTGAGCACGTCGTCACTTCCTGCTTTTTCGGACACCAAGACATCATCCAGATAAGCTTGCGCGCCCGATAAGCCCTGCAGAACAGTTTCCATCCTACGTTGAAAAATGGCTGGCGCAGAGGCAATGCCGAAAGGTAATCTGTTGTAGCAGAAAAGACCTTTGTGCGTGTTAATTATGCACAACTGGCGCGATTCGTCATCCAGCGGAACTTGGTTATATGCATCCCTTAGATCTAGTGTACTGAAATGCTTGCCGCCGTTTAAGGACACGAGCATGTCATTGATTACTGGCAATGGGTATTGCTCCAGCTCACATGCCGCATTTAAGGTGACCTTAAAGTCGCCACAAATCCTAACGGTGCCGTTCTTCTTAAGCACTGGTACAATGGGCGTAGCCCATTCGGAATGTGGCACCGGTGACAAAATGCCTAGTGCCACCAGCCTATCAAGCTCTTCAGAAACTTTGTCGCGTAGTGCGAAAGGAATAGGGCGGGCCTTACAGAACTTGGTTGTGACTCCCTCCTTCAGCTGAAGGTGCGCCGCAGGTCCTTTGATGAGGCCTAGTTCCGAGCTGAAGACGTCTGCAAACTCGGAGATTACATCCGAAAGGACCTGTGTGTTGGTAGACGGCTGTGCAGTCGGCGGCTCAGCTGAGAGGCTGAGAACAGGGGAGCCTGCGTCAGTCAGAAGAAAAATTAGGTCTCGACCGCATAAACTTGGACCGCAGCAATCTAGCACTACCAAAGGGCATTTCATGGTTGAACCGACGTACGATACCGGCAACAGGATCTCTCCAAGGACTGGCAATATTCCCAAATAGCATGACAGCTTTATGCGTGATGGCTTCAGTGGAGGCCAAGCGTTCTTGTGCTGCTCAAAAACCTGATGTGACACGACGCAGACCGGTGAACCAGTGTCAATAAGCACTGGTACGTCAACACCTTCCCACGTGAAGTTGCGCCGTATTGGTGGCTTCACAGTTTCCTCCCGCGTCGATCTTAGCGTCCAAATGTGCAGGCTATCATCAACGCCTTCATCTGTTTCCCCTTCGTTAACAGCCAGGACTCGGCCGCGTGTTTCCGAGGGTGCTTGTTGAGTTTGAGACTTTGCGGTTTGATCATTCTGGCATTTTCGAGCTAGATGACCGCATCCACCGCAACGATAACAACGCGCGTTATTCCAACGGCAGGCATTACTGTTATGTCTGACACTGCCACAACGCCCGCATTCAGCGAGTATTTTTTTGCTCGTGGAGGACTGCGCCTTGATTCTGAGCACAGCTGATGCTTCGCCGGCCATTTTACGGGCATCATTCTCTGCCGCTTCAGCTGCGAGGGCCATTGTTTCGGCGTCCTCTAACGTCAGATCTTTCTTTGTCAGCATCTGCTTTTGCAGCGCACTCGATTTGATGCCGCACACTATTCTATCCCGCAGCATTCGGTCGAGCATGGTATCAAAATTGCAGTTGTCCACGATTCGGCGAATCTCAGTAATGAATTCTTGAACAGACTCACCGTCCAGCTGGCAGCAGTTGAAAAAGCGGAAACTTTCTGCAATCTCATGGCGCTTGGGATCAAAGAACTCGTCCAAGGCTTTCACGACGTCCTCGTACTCTAAAGAATTAGGCTTCTTGGGCGCTATTTTTTTTTATAGTATCTGGACAGTGCGAGTACTTAAGGCTGCCACCAACAACGCCCGTTTCTTGGCTGACTCTGTCACCCCTGTTGCCTCAAAGTATGCTTCTGCCTTGATGACATACGCCTTCCAGTTGTCTTTCTCGTCGTCGAAGTCCGGCAGTTGCTGGTGCGCCATCGTCGTAGCTGACGTCCTGCTTGAATCCAGGGTTTTTCTTTCCGGTTCTTCGTCGCCACTGTTACATCGTTCGTCGGTCCCTGCGCGTTGGCGCAAGCGAAGTAGACACAAGCTGACAAGCTGGTAGAATGGGCGTTTATTTTCAGTGTACGTTGCAATATAAAGACTCAAAGTAAAGAGGGAAAGGGAAACAAGGTAAGTGGTACAAGAGATAGAAGCTTTGGCTATAACTGAGCCAAAAGCTGATAAGGGTTACACTTCAGTTACAACAGTTTCACATACAAATAATATGCTTCCCTCACAGCGGTTGATGACAACGATAAGCAGGCACAGTGGTTATCTCTTGTGTTGCCGCTAGCGAAACTCATGTCGTCGTACAGCCAGCAGCATCGTTGCTGTCCTGTCGAGACAGCACACCTGGTCATTTACTATGGTAATTTCTTCGTGAATGGTAAGAGTCACTGCAATCACTGTGCACATAGGCCTGCAAGCGGGCATGCCATGTGCCATTTTTTATATTTCTTGAACATCTATATTAAGCTGCATAATATGAACACTTAATCAATAGAAAGTTGAAAACTGTCTAATCAAACGTCTTAAAATCTCATTGGAATTTTTCCCCTAGCTTTGTTCCTCCAAAAGTGAATTAATTAAACATGCCTAGTTAGGCAGTTAAGAAGAACACAAAAATTGTGTGAAATACTCCAGGCATAGCGAGCAATATCCATATAGTCACATCATCATAGAGTGCAGCGGCATATTTTTTACTCTGCTACAGATAGCTGAGGCAACCTATGTAAAGCATGCAGCAACTTTTTGTTTTTTCACTATGGCTGTACCAAGGTTGCATCAGCACAGGTATGAGCCCAGAAGACTTCTTGTTCCAAACCTCAAAAGAAGCCTGTATTTCAATGGTGCTCCCACCATGCAACTGGCTGTCACAGAGTCTCTGATAGAGGTCTTGGCAGCCAACTTTCAGGAGGCCGTTGCATCGCGCGAGTTGCATTGGAAGCACTGTATTGATGTCCTCGGCAACTATTTCGAAGAATTTTAATATGTACCGATGGGATAAATAATTTCTTTTTATTAGCAGACCTACTCTGATTAGGACTGACAGAACCTGTAGTCAGGCTTTTTTTTAGTGCCCCTATGAAGAAAAACTATCATGAACCATAGTCAGTTGACTGTCTTTTTCATTAGGCAACCTACTGAGCTCTCTTTTATAAGTCTACTGCACAGATAACTCGGATTTTTTTCCAATCTGCACACATGTGCATTATACTACATACAGTGCTATATAAATGCAGAAGAGAATAAGATACAGCTATGTTCTGTGTCAAACAAATAAGATTCAATAAATGGTTGCTACTATACGAACTTTAATAGAAAATTTTTGTGGACACATTTTCCCTCTTCTTCATTCGTCCTGCATGTACTGAAGCATAAAACAAGGGTGGAAAGGCACAACTACTCATTTCTTACACATGTCCTTTTGAGCAAAACTCTTATGAGTTACAGATTTTGGTGGCAGCAGTATAAATCGTGAAAAATCAGGCACTGGAGAGTGTACAGAAATTTGATGTGCCCCAATAGGCTCTCGAAGCTGTGCCAGTCACATGTATTTATATGTGTCATTTTTCAATATCTGATGCTCTTTTGATTGTGGGCTTGTTGAAGATGAGCGGTTTTTAATATGGAAATCTCATCTTTTATCGAGGTCACTTGTCATTTCACGTTGCCTCATTTCATTTTTGCCTTTCAGCATTCCACGCATGATTGTTGCCATTGCCTCTTGCAATAGGAGCGTTGCGTTACTAAGCACGTGGAGAAGATCCGATTCTCGACATAGAGCATGGCAAAAGTTTGGCGGGAGCATTGCACAAATCGATGAAGAGAAAAAAAAAAGCACACACCACGCTTTGCTAGCCCCCATTTTCCTAATTGGAAAAAGGCTCTGTGCCTCAATTCCTGTGGCTTCATGCATTCAAAGTAAAAGAGGTAAAGAAAGAGCACATAAAACAAACAAACTGGTCAGTTTATCTCATGTAAGTATGACTGAAGTTTCACAGTCCATTTACCCAGGCTCAGTTTATTCCAAAGTAATGCACAACTACCTAATGTGGCGCAGTGTCAGTAAGTTGCTTACCTTAGAAGGATAGGCTTAGAATTATATTCTGTTCCTATTTCAATGGAAGGTCCAGTAGCTTGAACTATTGTTATGGGCACCTTACAAGCATGGGAGAGAGCCTTGAGCTGCATGAAAGAAAACCTTGTGAGAAGCAGAGTTAAGCAGTTGAGTTTTGCTGCGACTATTGCATTGGCCAGTGACTGGGTGTAACACAAATCTCGCACCAGTCTTGAAAACCAAAGAGGGAAATAATGTACAGTAGTTCCACATTGTTTTTTTTTAGTACAGCCTGAACAATACTACTATAACAAATTACAACATTTTTTATAATTTGCTAAGAGAATAGATCTACATGTGGCAAATAGTGACTGCTGATATGGACCACGAGACTGAAGTTACTACAAGAATAAGAATGGGGTGGAGTGCATTTGACGAATACTCTCACCTTCCTTAAAAGGCTCGTAAACCACCTCGGATATTTTTTAAAACATTTCAAGTAAACGCATGCATCGTGTGCAGAATGCCGTCGCGATCATCGACTCAACATGTAGCAGTGCTACGAGCCACTGGCGCGCCATGAATTCCAGAAATTAATCCCTCCTTCTTTCCAGGCCTTTCGGGCCTCCGCATGATGAGCCGTTCCACGTCTCCGACACGCCGAGCCAAATATGCTGTGATTGGTCGAGCAAGAGCCTACGACTTGTGGTTAGTCTGCAAGCAGCTGTCTATGCTGCTTGTTGTTTGTCATGTTGCCCGCGTGCGTGCAACACATATGGGGCACGGCGTGTACCCGTACAGGTCCATTGCGTTAATGATCCTGTGAAGGCGCGCACACAACGCAGGGTCCATACCAGCACGATTATGGCAGCCACTGTTCGCCAACAAGCACGCAGCCACAACACAACTGACGGAGTCGACGGCCGGAGTCGTGGCAACCGGAAGTAGCCGGTGTTTCAAACAGCACGTCAGCGATGACATATGCCATGCTAGATTGGGAGGGGTTTGAGAGGGGCGCTTGGCGAGAGGATAACAGCGGAGGGGAGCGCAGGAGAGAGCGAAAGGAGTGATCATCGCGGTTTCGATAATCAAACACGTCTAATTCCACTATTACTGCACCGTTTTGAAAAATTCTCACGGCTTCGCATTCGCCATACACTCGTGGACGATTTCCCAACCACTAATGAATTTTGACCTCTGGATAATTTATAGGTCCTTTAAAAGAAAAGCACATAACAGCTGCATCTAACCAGTATTTACCAATGAGGCAAAAACACTGAGGCTTACACAAGCAGTTGAACCTAATTTTACGACAATGCAGCAAGCTATAGAACGGAAAATGATAGGTGTAGCATTAGGAGACAAAAGGTTTAGAAGACACACACACATTATTAGCATACATGTTGAAATTAAGAAGAAATCAGCATGGGCAGTACATATAATGATGAAGCAAGATAACCAAAGGTCATTAAGGATAACAGAATGGATTGCAAGAGAAGGAAAGTGTTGCAGGAAGTGGCTAAAAGTTGTGTGGGCAGACAATATTTAAAAGTTTGAAAGGATAATGCAGCCATGGCTAACACAGAAATGGTTCATTGGAGAAATATGGGTAAGGCCTGTGCTCTACAGCAGGCGTAGTCAGGCTGACAATGCTGATTTAAGACTACTTTTGTTCAGCATATTTAGAAACATTTATTGCACCAGTGTGTGCTGCAGCCTACACACCACAAGCTCATTGAAAGTAAAACACTTGTACCTCAACTTGGCCACCCCATGCTGTCGTGCTTGAAACCTCTAAACAGTAATCTTCATATTCTTCTGCATATGAAAAAGAAAAATAAGAATTAGATAAGTAAATACATGAAATAAATGTTGTTAAAGCGCTTTAAATAACAATTCACAGCTGCATGACTACAGAAACTAACCATAGCACAACAAATAAGCCTAAATCACTACAATCACTAGGTTATCTGTTGATGGATTAACCTAGCATCAAGAAAACACAGCAACAAGTGTGACAAGAATTAACAAACCCAGCAAAGGAAAGCAGTACAATTTATTTTTAGTAAATTTAAGTCAACTGACTCCCACACTGCCCTACTAACTATAATAAATATTATATTATTACAAGCTCTGAAAAAAAAAAGTTACCTAGGAGTTTCTTTCCAACAACGTTAACCGTAGGCTATCCTTAGACACCACAGCATACGTTTTCCCTTGTTAAACAGACCCACTGGGCACCACTATCCTCATTCCTTAACGCCAATTTTTGCAAGGACTGACACTTTTCGCTACTCCTTTTTGGAAGCATTCCCACTAATGGAAGCATTCCCACAATACCCATTACCATTTGTGAAAATACTGTTGTTCTTTTATCACTTCATTAGAATTGTATGTATTATGGCTAAGTTGTTAAATTGCTCTTTTTTTTTAAGGTGTAACCCTCCATCTTACAACCAAAAATATTTTGTAAAAAATTATTTGTTGTGCATTTTGGTCAGCCTGCTTGGACTTTTTGTCCACAATACTTTACAAATAAATAAATAAAAAACTTGGGAGGTACAGTCGAGCCCACATATAACAACCCCACCTAAAACGAATGATACTCGCATAACCGTGGAAATATACATTATCTAAATGGCACAAAATCGCACTTACAGCGAACATCTCTGAGCATTGCCAAACGGTTACAGTGAACGAAGTCGACGCTAGGGCGACTTCTCGGGAAACCACTTTTGACCACCGATAAGCCATTGGCGAGATGCTCATACATTCTTATCGTTAAACATTAACCCTGGTTCCGCATTCCTCTAGTTGTCGCTCTTCCCGACCGTTTTTTGTTACGCACCCCCTCAGTCCTTTGTTCCCCCGCTACTCAGAGTATCTAAAAACCTTGCTCTGAACACCGCGAATCAACAGACGGGCCCTGTGTTTTCACACTGCCACCACAGTAATAATGCCAAATATAATGCCAAAGGGGGCCACACATCTGCAACACACATGGGCCGCTAAATAAAACGACTGCACAGACACAACGGATTACACCGTAGCCATACAAGAAAGCCGGAACTGCAGGAGCAAATACCCCTAAGTCTGGCAACCAACTTAAGCAACACCAAACAGAACCCTGCCGATTTCATAACAGCCGATAATGATGTCAACTTTGCGGAATCGTGCACGGATGAAGGAATTTTCAATAGAGTGCACGGCAAGAGCGATTTGAAAGAATTGTATGAAGAGGACAACGAAGCTTTGGAGCCAGTGGCCACAGGCGTGCATTAATAGCCTCAGGCAGCTTAATTATGCCACGGGCCTCTCAGTGAAGAGCATGCTGGCGCTTTAAATAAACTAGAAACCATATTTATTGCTTCTGCTATTCAAAACACATGCATCAGGGACTTTTTTGGGAAAAAAAAATTGAGTATTAACTCGCAACTTTTCTGAAGCTGTGTTTCATTTACTACGAACTTCGGGGTACAGCGAACGAATGCCGAGTCCCGCTCAGGTTCATTATAAGTGGCCTCGACTTATACTCCAAACAATATTACCATCATGGTGCATGCTAATGAGTTTGATCTGCACAGTGATACAAACATACAAACTATCTTTGCTGAGTAGTACTAGGACTACACATAAAAAGCCTCAAGTGATTTCACTACGCCATCACCCAAGGGGCACTTAAAAGGGTAGGCACAGAAAAGTCACTAAAGCAATTATTTTAAATGCCAGAGGCTTATTCAAAAACACTATGCACATTTTTTTTTTACAGATACGAGAAATTTTTGCATTATACTTACATGATGTCAGGGTTTGTCAATTTTATAATGCGAGTGCTGCATATTTTTTTTGAACAAACTAGTTTTGAAAACAAAGTGACGTTAAGCACTTAAGTAACAACGGATAGCAGCAGCCAGTTTATGTGTAATTATGTCAGAACTTTCTAAAAGCTCCAACAATCACCTTAGAACTTACATGAATTACAGGGTTTGGAAGCATCGAGTTATATGGATTATGACACACCTGGGGGCAAGCTGACTGTTGTGAACTCAAATGGCTCCACTCTGCTTAAGTATAGGAGGGTTGCCATAAATTGAAGGGTTAATAACTTTTACCTTTATCTTGATTGCACTATTAATTTCTGCATTATGCTAATGCAGGAATAGCAGCTGGCAGGTCAACTGAAGTAAGCCAATAATCTTTCTGAATACTGGGTCGATAATGTTCACCAATGAAAACAAGTAATCTCACTGATGCTATGCACTGATGAAATCAATACATTTGAAACTTTCATGCCCTGGCAAGGTAAACAGTGCATCAATACAGGAAACACTCTTCAGCAAATTTTGGAGACATTTAGTTCATAAATATAAGCGACTGTGCCATACGATGCAGAGATAAGTTCAAGTTTATTCAAGGGCAATGATGATGACAGAGATGTATGGTGTCTTTGACATGAGAAGCAGATGATTTTAAGGCACAATAATTTTGAGGGACAAGTTTTTGTGATACTGTCCCATTTGCAAAATTTTGCAGGACTCAGCATAAGATGAGCTGAAGTAGATATCTGCAAGCTAACCAAAATATGCACATAAATATTATGTGGAGAAGGTGAGGTTGCTTGGGCTATCTCCTTTCATTCAAAGGTTCTAGGCTATGTCACGGGCTCCCAGAAGAAATGAATAAACTGTAATTAAAACGAAGCACAGTTCTAAGGACAGACTTTGCACAGTGTGTCATCTTTCTTAGTTCCCTTTCATGGCACTGCACACTCTTAATATCATTAGCCAACTAGCCCAACCCACCATTCTTGAAAGAACAAACTGCACCTGTGCACTCCACCCAACCACCTTTTTCTCCCCGAGGCCACAAATATTCAACAGCCCAAACTATCAGCTGTATTTCATTCTAAAGATGTAGTATACTGCTGATATGAACCTTAGTTGTATGCATGCAAGTTTCAAAGGAGTGAAGGAGGGACTAATATTGAAACGTAGTCTTCAACTGATCTTGTAAGCCACAGAGGCTTGGTCAAAAGTACTGTCCTGAAGATGCAATGCATCCACAGCTACAATTTATATTACAGTACGGTAGCCAAATTCAACTTCACTATTCACTTGTCTGTGAACATGTGTGCTTCCTTTGCTGATGCCGTGCTCTAGAGAGCTGCAATCCAAGTGCATAAAAGTTCAGACATGAATTTTTTGCTTTCATAATTAGTTGGTTTTCGTTAAGGCTGGCGAGAATGATGCAACAGGCTTCCAGTAACTCCCAGAATTTCAAAAGTCCATTTCTTTATTGCCACCCTACTCTGCTGGAGAATTTAGTGTTTAAGCACTTCACACCCACCATAGGCCACTATTATATGCCACCTGGCAAAATGAGCCCTACCTGGCATGTAGCACTGTTAATGGCCATTCCCTGCACTCTAATACTTCATTCTACCTGCAATACTAATTCTCTCAGAAAATTGTAGCAAGGATGTCCGGAAGAAACTGCCACACCCATTCATTTTAAATGTGGAAACCAGCGGCTATAAACATCTTCACGATCATGCACATTTCTTTATCGCTTACCTGCAGTCATCACGTCGCCACTCTTTCTGCTTGTCAGGAAAGGAAGAAACTCTTCAGAGTGAGACAACATGTACTTTGCAGTTTCTTGCCGTAATTCATTCATGGATTTCTAAAAGCATGGTTCAAAGAAAAATTCTTAACAGATATTCTTACTAGCTCCTCAGAACATGAACAAAATGAATTAATCAATGGAGGGGGAAGTTTTCAATGCCTAAAAATTCATACCTTGATGCCTACAACAGGGCTCTCAAACTCAGCTAGTGGGCCGCAGTCCTTAAATTCAGTCCCATAAGGGCCGAGATAGTGAATAAGGTTTAAAGGAACTGTCTATCGTCCTTCATTGCTTTTCTGTTTTGTGTCGCAGTAAAAATCATACCATCTGAAGTGTCTAAACCGGGCAGCCCTTTCTCTGAAGAGTGTGTAGATATTTTTAAAATAGAATTTTTCAATCTGAGTTCGGTTCTCTTCATTGGTGGTATGAATGTCCAGTCGATGAAGGCAATGCCAATTGTACAGCTGGTAAAAGTTGAAAAACTGAAACAGTGTGCGGTTTTCGCAGGCTTCATCATGTTTTGTAAGGCACACACACACTTTTTTGTTGTTGTTCTTATCAGCAGCGACAGATACCATGCAGTTGTAAAAAGTGGCATTAGTATTGCATACATTCAGTCTTCATTGTTCAAAACCTGTTACCACAAAATGGAACAAAGCTTCCCAAAGCAGGTTTCAAGACTTAAAGAAGCAGGATACCCTGAATGGGTCACCACGAGGGCCTGCGAAAAAGTGACAAAGAAAGTAAAGGCTGGGCAGAAGGAAACAGAAGTTAATCGCTCCACAACTAAAAATAATTTAGCCTCGATTCCTTATGTGCATAGGTTGTCGCACGAGCTTAAAAATGTGGGTATTATAGATAAAAAGCTAATGTTGTTTCCAACGTTGGCCACAAGTTGCGGCAAGTATGTCCAGCTGTGCAAAGAAAATTAAACTGAGAAAATTATGATACAAAGAAAAAAATCGCAGCATATCCACGGAGTAAACGATGATGAGTATGGCGAAGCATCCATCAGCCCGTCCGTGCTTCCGTCCGTCTGCGCGACCATCTAAGCATCCATCCATGTGTGCGTCTGTCAGTGCATGTGTCAGTCTGTACGTCCGTGTGACTATCCATCTGTCCATCCGTCTGCTAGTCTGTCTGTCTGTCCATCCATCTAGTGAACACTCCAAGTACCACCATCTCCCATCTCGCATCCCCTGTGGCACATACCCACTCTAGAGCAGGTATGTGCCACCGGTGGCTACGTACTACTACATACATACAAGGAATGGACAGACCCCTGCCTTAAGGAGCTTCGCCCCTAAAACGCCCGATAAAACACAAGAGTAAATTTATTGAGTGTCGAACCAATGCAGTTTATAAGATTCCATGTTCTTGCAACAAGGTTAACATTGGGCAGAGTAGTCTGTGCGTCAATATAAGAATCCAGGAGCATGCACGTAATGTAAAAAATGGCACAGGTTCCCATTTGGTTATTCATTGTGAAAAAAGTGGTTGTAATTTTCATTTTGATAAGATGGAAATCTTGCATTGCCACAAAAACCAATAGTCACGAGAAATCATTGAAGCTTTTTATACGCCACTGGAAGGTGACAATTGTATCAGCCAGCCTTCTCTAACACTATCAGGAGCAGAAGTTCTATATCTTACAGATAGCTTGCACCTTTCATCAGCCACATAGCCTGTTGTAGAGTTTGTCACTTTGGGCTTGCGCGATGGTTGTTTCTTGTCTTTGCTTTCTCAGATGTTATTTAATCTGCTTCTTTTTGGAATAAAGTTTAGTTGCGAGTGAGCACTGTAGTTGGAAGTGAACCAATTCGCCCAATCGTTCCTTCTGATGCAACACATATATTTTGACGAGTATAAATGTTGCACCCATGCATGGAACAATGTACTCTGTAGTCTACTGTGCTCTTACCTAACAGCTGGTGGTAAAGGCAGTGGTTGTATTTGTTGTTTTTTTGGATCATGCATCAGAAAGCATTGATCAATCTTTGCAACTTTCTAGCTTGGCCTATTCACACAATCACCACATTCTTTCTCCATGTCTTCACATACTAGTAGCCTGTCACAGCTTTATGTGACTATCCATCTGGCGACTCCATCACACCAAGACATGGTGCCCCTGGGTCTGGGCGAAATGAAAGGCTCCATGTAGAGGCCACCCTGGGTCCGTTCTCACAGACTTTTTACACACACAAACATGGGTTGGTGGCACAATTTCGTGGTAGCTTTTAGGCCCTGCTACGTTACAATTTTAGATTTCAATTTGATTGATTGATGATTGATATGTGGGGTTTAACGTCCTGAAATCACCATATGATTATGAAAGACGCCTTAGTGGAGAGCTCCGAAAATTTTAACCACCTGGGGTTCTTTAACGTGCAACCAAATCTGCGTACACGGGCCTACACCATTTCCGCCTCCGTTGAAAATTCAGCCGCTGCAGCCAGGATTTGCGTCGCGGGATCGCGCCTCGCAGTCTAGTACCTTGGCCACTAGACTCCCGCGACGGGACACAATTTTAGATTTTGAATGACAAGAAAACTCTTAATTGTTACCAACCTCCTTATTTAGTGAAATAATTTGCGCGTGGTCATCACTTCGTAAAGTCGAGTTTCACTGTATACCAATCTCCAGAATGACAGAATTCTGGATATAAATTCTGAAATGTAGTTATTGTTCCACGGCTCTGTTTCAATGCATGGTGACCACATGGGGTGCCTCTCAAAAAAATCTTGAGACCAGCCGTGTCGATGTAGCTTATTAACTTACTTATTAAGACTATTTTTTTTTTTTCATATATGGGATGAAGACATTCATGTGGAAGTAGGGCCACTAGTGAAAGGCATGCAGCCTGCACGTTGAGATCTCTGGCCCACATCATATTATGTAATCACGAGACTGAGAGCTCACTCTACATATAAGGAAAAGGTTGAGCGTTTGTTTACCTATGTCTAATAGTAAAATGATGCGGGCTTTTGGAATCGCATTACATGTAGCTAGACTAGTTGTATGACAAATAAAAAGCAGTCTTAAGAGGACAAAAATAAGAGTAACACACACACAGTACATAAATGCCCAAGAGCCACAAGTATAATTTAATTTTATATTGAACACGCCCACTTAAAACAATAGACAAGGTGTACGGGCTGGTTTATGCCACAAATTGACAAATATATGAGCAAGATTACATAAAATCTTTAGCCAAACAGTCGTCTAATCGAGATGTGCACGCACACGCACAAATACACATGTGAGCACACGCACAATAAAGCTTTTGCAGAGCTCCTGGATCACATTAAAGGGTTTAAAAAAACCAGAACGAATGTTTCGGCAATTAAGAGGCTTTGATTTCTGAGAAAATACGGATTTTTTTGTGGCTTCGTGGTACAAATGGGTGGTTGTCTTCTTTCCCTTTCGTAAGCTAAGGTTAGTGATACACTTAATATTTCGAATGTTTTTGCATAACGTCACCTCACTAATACTTATGATGGCTGGCACTGATGCATTATCATTTTAATAGTACAACAACTCTCAGACTTCACACAGGCGTTATTAAATATACGCTGAATATTTCACTGAAGAATCTAGAAATCGACACGCTGCTATTCTTGTTGAAGCAGTCAAGATTACAAATGGGCAGATTCATTTCCTTTTCAGGTCGCTTTATACTTGGCAAAAGTTTCTGTGCAATAGTAATTAATGCCCATAAAGACAGACACTTATACATAGCAAAAGTTTCTTCAATGTAGCAGTTAACACCCATCTTCAATGTAGAAACTCTGTGTGCCTTGTAATTTATTTCACAAAACGCAGATACTTTTACCATGGCAAAAAAGTGCAATCTGTTCAATATCTTTAAGGTTTGATTAAGTGATTAAGTGATAGTAGTGACCAGCCAAACAATATGTGTAGGTGTGTGCTGGGCTAGAAAATTGGTCGGTAAACTCACTCGTGAGTAGACTCACTCAGGCTCAGATCGAGCCGTAAATCTGAATCTGAGCAAGTCCAGGTGAGCAACATTTTTGCAAGTGAGTCTGAGTCTGGTTGACGAAAATTTTGACGAGTTCAAGTCCAAGTGGGCCCTAAGTGGGAAATGTGTTTCTTGAATGGGTCTGAGTGAGCTATATTTTTTTTTTCGCCAAGCTATAGTCATTTCTACTAAACTTTAGCATTTCTTGGCTGACGTCTATACTCACATCTACTCAAACGTACTTCAATGCACTATCATTTGTATGCCAGCTCAGCATTGACTGATCGAAGGCATATGTTACACCAGGTGGGTGGAGGGGCGCCTTGGCTTTTCTCTTCTCTATAAAACCTTACACGGGAAGTTCTAAAGAATATTTCGTGTAAGTGTTTTCTTTCAATAAAATTCCCTCACTCTATTGTAATGACTGGTAAGTTGATTAAATTTAGCACCCATAATGTGAGGCATTGTTAAAGAGCATTAACACCAAGGTTGAAAAAGCTAATTATACGCTAACAAACTTATGACTTAACTTGCTCAGACTCGGATTGAGCCGTGAGTCGGCGTCCGAGTGAGTGGTGAGCTAGTCCAAGTGAGACCAGCTCAGAAAATTTGTAGGAAGTACGGGTACAAGTGAGTCCGGTTGAGAGAAATTTTGGTGAGCCAAGTTCGAATGAGCCATAAGGACTTAATATATTTCTTGATTGGGTCTGATTAGGTTCCTGTTTTTTTTTTTTGCTGACCCATGGGCTAGAAGCCAGTGCTGCATCTCACTTTTGACTAATTGCCCAGTGCAACGACTAGAGAAAAGGTCGCAGTTTCACCTGAGAGTAAAAATATTGATAGAAATAGCAATGTATCAGACAACAGCACAAATTAAGGTTTGGAAGATTACTGGCTGTATAGAGTGCGGCAAACATTTATTTACTACTTTAATTAACATGTATAGTGTCTATGCATGCAGCGGTTAACATGAACAGATCTCATTCAATAGCAGTGAACATTCGCCACCACAATGCTGTCATGATTAAGAGCACAGAGAGAGGTCAGAGAACATGCTGCTTTGAGATAACAAGCCCTCCCGCACTGCACATGAAGCATGAGAGCACACATGAAGCAACCAATCATCTCGGCTTGCCAATAATTTTGCACACATTGCAATAAATATACAATATCTAGAAAGGAGGGACTGAGCACCTTGGTGCTCAACTGTGCCATGAAGTGGCTAGAAGAGAAAACACATGCTCACAGCCATTTTCAAATACTCATATTGCACCATTAAATGATCCAAATAAGGCAGTACAAAGGACTTACCAAGACACCAAAAAGTCCAAGCTGATGTTCCATGGCTTTGTACATGCTAAAAAGTTTAGCAAATATTATTAAGGCAATATAAATAAAAATATTCAAGAAAAGAAAAAAACAATTTGGGAGGTACAATCAGCTATAGGTATCGGGAAAGAGCATAATTTCATTTTATAAGCTTAATGAATATCACCTCTTAATCATAATTGAAGAAAGTGTAACAGCAGCTCACAAACATCGATGATAGACATATATCTTTAAATAGTGGTATGTCTACTAGCATCCTCAAGATACCACTACTGTATGCCTTGGGGCTATTGGTTAAAGCTCAACTGTAGCCTGAAGCACACTAGAGTGCAAAAAAAAAAAACCGCAAAGCTAAAATATGGCTATGGTATCAAAGCACAAAAACAAGTTAAAACAAAAAAAAACACAAGAAAGCACAAATGTCATTCCCAACTTTTTTCTTCAATTACGCACTGGGATATTTCCACATGTGATGGTGCTGGATTGCTTCAGCTGTACCTAGCCATGCCAAACTGCCAGCATGTGCCATGCCTGGAATTAAGCATCTTACAGCAAGTCACTGACAAGCCAATATCCTTTAAAATAAAAGGAGGCCTAGTGTTACTTTTAAATTGACAGCTTGCTTCATCACCATCATCATATTTTATATCCGTAGCAAAACAACAGCATCTCCCAGCAATTTCCAATTACCGTTGTCTTCTGTCAGCTGGCTCCTACAAGATTTGTGTGAGATGTAGAATCCAAATACAGTTCCATGGAGCTAATTGCTGTTCTGGTGAGGGTGCCAGTGATGGAAGTGGCTTTTCATGTTTCGAAGCAGCTTTTGGAGCAGGGAAAATAGCAGCTGGGAGCAGACATTTATTCCTTTGAAGCAGGAAAGGTTTTCATTCACAGCAAGGAAAGCATTATTTGGAGTAGAAGCTCATTGCTTGCATGCAAGATGACAAAATGTGCATGGGGTTATGACAGAGAGAACAGCCTTTCAAAGCATTTACATTCATTATTGATAGCACAATGCACTGACCAAATTTCCTTAAAACCACGGAGAGGACATTAAAACAAACAAGAGATTTTCAGAATTCCTTTTTTTTCTCATAAGTTAAGTTAGCAGAGTGAAGTATGATTTGCTACCACAGTAACCTAGCACATGAACTTTTAAAGTCAAATTACTTTAAGATGACAAAACATTAGCAAAATACTAGTGAAACTAATCCTACAGTCAAATAAATCTGCTCTAGTAGCATAAAAAAATAATTAAACTAAAATGGACAGCTTGACGTCTTAGTCGGTACAACTCAGCAGTATTAGCAGAGGCAGAACAGAAGACATCACAGAAGACATGACATGACGAACCTCTTGCATTGACTTGTGCTGCATGGAAACCACCAAATGTCATGAATAAAGCAAACAAGCGTGCAATCTAACAGTGCTTTCTCACGAAGGTGCATCACCGCAATCATGCTTTAAAAAAATTCTAGTTATGCACATGAGATATAAAACATGAAGCACATGCTTGCAGGAGCTACTGATGAGTCATGAAGGAACATCCAAAGCCTATGCTGTCATGTGCAGGGCACAAAACTGCATGCACAGTAAGATGCATCAGTATGTTATATACATCACGAAGCATCATCAAAGCAAGAAAATGAATGGGGAACAGTTAGGTATTGCCAAACATTAGGCAAAAAATAAGACATAGATACAGGCCGAGGTTCATAAAATGTGCGTCAACCTAAGCGTTGATCTGTAGGACCTAAATGAAGTTTACCATACCATACCATTCCTGTCTGCATCTACAAATCTACAGGTGCCCGTGGCATGATGACACATACAAAGAGCCATTGTTGTTTAAGAATAGGCCTACAGAATCAGAACCAGCCCTTAGTGTGGTTCGCTGACACTGCAAACTCAATCACTGCAATTTGATCCACAAGAAGTCAGGCATAGTAGCACTTCTACAGGTTCCATAAAGCTACACTCCCAGTGCACAGCATTAGCACAGTAGCTGAAATTGGCTTGGCTTATCCACTTTGGCAACATTCCAGAGTACCAGTTTCAGAACTATTACAGTTCATATTCACCCAGCCTGTAATATTAAAATGAAGATTGCAAATCTGTGAGAGCCTTGAGACAGTTGTGGCACAAAAAGCTTGAAAAGCAGTTGTTTGGTGCACTATATATATCAGCGTTTTCGTATCAGTACAGTTTGGCATAATCTGCACAACACTTCCATCACTGGAATAGTTCTCGAATTTCAGTGGACTTTTGTCACATGATAACATGGGAACTTGCCTAGCTCCACTAGCTTTTTGTATAAACCCCACCCCTCATCTTGAGTGATGAAGCTCATTGTTTTTAGTTGACAAGCCCTGAATTGCCTTACGCTTCCGCCTTAAGCTAAAGAAATTGCATACTGCAGTCTTAGAGCTTAACTAAAAGTGAAGGACTAGTCACCAAATTCCTGATCCCCGACTCCAAACATGCTCCGTAATGTTTCTGCAGTCCATGTCTTACACATTGGTTTGAAGTGGCACAACTGAAACTTCCACTGTTGAAGTGACCATTGTTAAATTCACACATGGCATTATTTGCTCTGGTGAGTGACAGGAAGTGCAACTACATAGAATGAGCACTGCTGCCATTATTACAGCTTATGTTAAAGACATTTGAGATACCAATATTTGGAGGCTTGTGAATTTCTGAACCAATTAGTTTTCAGTGCTGAATACGAAGTCTTACCAGTTTCCATCAGAAGGAATCTAAAAAGAAAAAGAAGCAAACAAACTAGTGTTAACATAATACGAAACAACTTGAACTATTCAACTTCATGAAACCAAAACTTTAAAGCTTAGCACAGTTAAACCTTTACACAACAAATAAGACACAACGAAGAAACCAAGGCATCTCACTAATAGCATGCTATGAATACAGGCTTAGAACAAATACACTCAAACCTCGTTATAACAAAGTTGAAGGGGAGTCATAGTTATTTTGTTATATCCATTATTTCGTTATATCGATTATAACGTTTGTGACAATGTATGCTCAGATGGGTGATGCAAACAAGGAAACCGCCTCGTGGCCCCATGTGCCGTTGCACGACAACGCGAGCCACGGAAAATAAACTCAGTCGAATCTCATTAACTCAAACTTTCGGGTAATTCGAACTCACACTGAGGTCCCGTCAAAGCTATGTGTATTCCAATGGGTGAAAGCGCCCTGTAATTCGAACGCACAAGCACTTGCGACGGTTAATTCGAACATACCGCGCTCCGAAAATGCTCTCAGCACCATGCTCAATCCCGCGGCGGCACCTCTCAACGCTGCGCGCAAAGAAGCAAAAGAAGAAAAGGCAAGAAAAGACTGTGGTGGATTGTTTGCTCTCTCTCAAATACCGATCTGTGACGCGCCTGTGCCACGCTTCCATATTATTCCTTCCTCCATGCACGCTTCTCTCTTTCCCGTCTCTGCACGTAGAGGCCCTTCTTTCAAGGGCGCGTGCAGAAAGAGAGGAAAAAAAAATTGGCCCCATATCTGCATTTAATCTGCAAATGTCGTCGAAAGACGATAGTCTTGCCTGTGGAGAGAGTGAACGAAACATTTATTTGATGTTTTGCTCAAGAAGATCGGTGAATGGTATTCTTGAGGCGCTTCGTTAGAGGGCCTCGAGCGTGCAGCAGAGGCGAACGAGCGCATCAAGTCATGTCCCACGTGAGACATGACTGCCATCTGGCATTTTTTTCAAAAACAAAGCGCGTGGCTCTGAGACAGGTGTGCGCACCCGCCTCAGAGGTGATAAGGTGTAGAACACAAGGCGACGGGTAGGGGCCACCACCGTCTTGTTTTAGCAAAGCTTTGGAAACACTCGCCTTTCCGTGCAAGCGTTGGATGGTCAGCGCAGCGTGATAAGCACTACTGTAATTAGTATTACTTATGTATGCCTTTTCTAGTATGCAGAATATACACGTGTTGTTATGATGCCTCAGATATGCGCAATTGCTTTTTAATTGACAATCGCACACGTATGAACGCTGATTCTTGAGCAACATTGGTGGTCGCTGTGGATGGGGTCGGCCGTTCGGGGTTTTGACTGGGGCTGTTTAGAGTACCCAGTTCGCGGTAACGATGGACAAACAGACAAACGTACAAACAGACAGACCAAAGTTTTTGCGTCGAAGGTCCCCAAGAAAGACTATCATCTTTAAAAAAGAAAGCTGCCGTGGAGAGTCCTGCTTTCTCGGTGCAGAGGGTAGCAGCCATGGTAGCAGCATGAGACGCAGTCGTTGCCGTCGTGAGAGGGAAATCGCTTTGCACCGCCGCATCGCTTCTCGGTCATGTGACCCGCTGAGCGCTTCCTCAATACTCTCCGCTGGCTGTGTGAAGAGAACGGCTCTCTCGGCTGCGTGGGGCGTAGCTGTATGGTCGGCCCGTGAGTATTGAAAGAGCCGCGCCGAACGAGCATCAAACTCCGCAGAAAACGATATACTTAACATACTACGGTCGGTTTTTTTTATAGACTACTTGACAGACTAACTTAGTTCATTATATACATTTACTAGTCAATATTACTTCATTACAACGAGGTTTAAAATGCATGGTTCTCAATGGAGCTTTCAAAGGAAATTTCATTTACTTCGTTATATTCATTATTTAGTTATATCCCGTTACATTATAACGAGGTTCGAGTGTACTGGATAGTGTTGAACAAAAGTAGAGTGTTGGGTGTAACTTTGTTACTGTAAGCCTTGGCAGTCCTTGAACTTGTGTTTAACACGAAAGTGTTTTATCCAGGGGCCCACCAAGACTTCAAGTAACGTACTTACGTCATGGAAATGACGTCGAAAAATATGCATAATCAGAAGACAAAAAAAAAAAAAAATGTCAACGGGAATCAAACCCATGACCTCTGGGTTCGCAACAACACATGCTGGACACGCTATCCACTGCGCCATGATAACATGCTTTGTAGACTTTAAAAATAAGTCTTCTTGTATCTACCGCTGTCCTCTTGCAGCATTCTTGGTAAAGTGTAGTAATGCACCATGACTATGACATCCACGATTAATTCATTGAACGCATCATTTCAAAGTGTCCATCCCATTCAGCGCATTTCCAATAGGAGCAGTTCAATTTCGTTAATGCCTTAACACACCCACATGTGGCAACCTTACCCCAAGCGTGGGCGTTGCTCATAGCATCTATCCCTAGCGAAAATAGCTATGCGATGCCCACCGGTTTCTTCTGGCTTTAACACCACATTTTCCACTTGCGCTTGCCCTGCGGCCGGCCAAAAGGACTATACGATGCACATTGCATTTCTCTCTGATTGGGCAGTGGTGTTCAATAACACCAACATGCCGCATGTAGGCTACCTTAACCCAAGTTCGGTGTCCAATCAGTCACACTCTTGATTGATATGTGAGGTTTAACGTCCCAAAACCCCTATATGATTATGAGAGACGCCGTAGTGGAGGGTTCCGGAAATTTAGACCACCTGGGGTTCTTTAACGTGCACCCAAATCTGAGCACACGGGCCTACAACATTTCCGCCTCCATCGGAAATGCAGCCGCCGCAGCCGGGATAATCAGTCACACTCTTCTGGCTGTCACATTGCTTTTTCTGGTTCCGCCTTTTCCGTTAACTACTATAGCTACCAAAAGCATCTATGACCACAAGGGTCTGTTTATTCATTAATGATGGATGCTAGTCATCGGGATAGAGATATATGACTAGCGTCATCGTGGATGCATCCACATTAAGCAATGCTATAGCTGTCAGACACTAATAGGCATTGAGCAAGCTCTCCTATAATAATGTACAGTAAACAATAGACTACCTCTATAAGGACACACTTTACTTCCATGTTCTACCAATTCCGATAACAGAGAGATCAACCATGTTTTTTTTTTTTTTTTTGCATATAGTATGTACTGACGAGATGCAAGTAAGCATGACTCCTGGATTTTCTCAACCTTTGAAATACAGTCACCGACCTATAACTTAGGCTTTTTGTATTTTTAAACACCACTGCTATGCTGCCACAAGCTCCACAATTTGTGACCGAAACTTCGGGCACCTCGCATGTCACTGCAAGTTAAATCTGACTCCGGCTGTGCAACCACATGCTACTTCAGTTTTCCAGAGAAGAAATAGCAATATCTTGGTTTTGGTACACTGCCAGCATGATTGTCAGCCATATTCGTGGCACTTCCTAGAAACCGAAACTTGCAAAGCTTGATTACAGGGTGGCTAGCTAAGTCAATCTAGTAGTCTGAAACCACAAATACTGCAGCAGAAACCAGGCCACTAAGTCATAAAGTCTGTTCTATATGTGTAGTGTTTGTAAATTTCAGATGTTAAATAATGTTAGTGCCCCAAGCAATGTTATCAAAGATTATCAAGTGGTACTGACTATTTCAATATACAGAGTATTTCAGTCAACACTTTTAAAAATTCTTAAAAATAGGCTGTTTCAGGGAGAAAAAAAAACAAAGCCTCTTCAGAAGAAAACTGTCAGCTTTAAGGATGTGATGATTAGTTAAACTAGTTTATCAAAATTTATTAACTAACTTTTTAATAAGCAAAAGTTTAAGTCTTCAACACACACCACGTTCCCTGGTGATGTGTTGCAATGACTGTGGCAGCGAATTCAAGAGGTACATCCTTTCATCCATGGTTAAAAAGACGTGATGCCAGCATAGGTATCCAGCAGTGTTGTTTTTTACTTATTTCTATTGCCGGGCATAAGAAAAAGGCTCGTTATCCACAGTTGCAAGTTTTGAGTAGCTAGAGAAGAAGAGCACATATATTACGAATTTTCCCCCACTGTTTCTGCAATGTGTCACCAGGGAACATTACACTTGCTCGATTTGAGGAACTTTTCATGCGGCGAGTTTCGATTTCATTCGAAAAAATACACCAGATTTTTGCTGACTGCAAATCTCCAGAGAATTAGCTTTTCTTTTTCCTTTAAAAGCTAATATGGCACTGTCATCTTTACGGCTACAAACTCATCATAAGTAATAACCACTAAACATTGCTAATTTAACTCTGTTAACTTTAGTTAACTACAAAATTGACAGGATTTAAAAATTTACTGACATTCATTGAACCTGACAGTTTGCTTTTGGAAAGAACACTTTTTGTCTTATATATATATATATATATACGTGTGTGTGTGTGTGTGTGTGCGCATGTGTGTGTCTTTAAAAATTTCTTTATAAGTGCTCACTGAAACACCCAGTTGTGCCAATGTGACTGCCACACAATGACTTTTGTGATGAAACATGTGATCATTTAGCTATTTGGGCACAGTTGGCTTTTCTTGTATTGGAAGAAGATGAAGTTTTGGAAGATCCATTTACTCATGGTCACTGTTTGCGCTCGCAATGTCTTGCGATATTCAAGCAAAATTGAAGGCAGCCCAAAGCAGACAATCTGAGAATACAGCACACGTTTTTTTTACTTGTTTTATTGTAGATTTTTCATTTTAGACTCCCAATTATTTGGACTTCTTGGCAGTTCCCATTCAGTCTGCTTTTATCAATTGGTGACTACTGAATTCGAGTGAGGAAAACACACAAAACTAAGCTTTTTTTATATGTATAAATAAAGAAAAGCATCTTCATGGTGCAAAACATTGCAGGCTTGGTAACAAGCATGGCAACATACCATTATCTGAGTATAAGACAAAAACTACCAGTATAGAAACCAAAATTCAAAAACATTTTAATGTACACATACAATAGAAATAAAGTGCAACAGTTCTTGCCAATATTTTTTTTAATTTTGTAGTCCTAGTTTTACGATAGCAGCTCACTGACTAGTTTTTCTAAACTTGAAATATTCAACAAGAAGCATCAGATTTATTATAAAATATTTTGTTGTGCAACAGAGCCATATTTTGCTTATGAATATTCGTTACGACTTACTAAGTATGCAAGTGAACTTAAATTGAATTTGCATTTCTTGAAAAGAAATGGAAGCACAGATCCTGGTTGCTTACCTCGTAAATAGTCAATCCAAGCTTCTCGAGAATTTCCCGCAGTTCTCTTTCCTCCACAGCACGTGGAAGAAACTGGTTTTCCACTTCCTGCTTTGCAATCTCTCTTTCACGCTGCTCTTCCTTTTGCCGCTTCTTTTCCTAGGTGTTGTACAGCATATGGATGACAATAACATTTGGCACCACTCAAAGTAATTTTCTTACAAACTGCAATAACCTACATGTCAAAGATACACACACAAAAAGAAGAAAAACCACACAGAGGTCAGCCAAGTTATGTGCCATGTGACAATTTAAACTCAATCTATTTTGTGCTAGTTACCCATGCTCTGTGGTAACAATGTTATGGATAACGGTTCAAATGAGCCCAGTGTATCCAAATTTTCTGATATGAGAAACAATATGCAATGCTTTGGTTGCCTTCCCATATATACAATCAAAAATTTCCCCAGCATGAACCTTCAATTTGTTTAAGCTGAACTTATACAGCCACCATTAACGTCTCCTAGGAGAGCTCAGCACAGCAAGAGGCACTGATGAGCAATACTTGAAAGAGCCAACTTTTACTGCTACGGAAGTGTCTAGAAATATTAAATAGCCATGCCAGCATTGACTATGATGTTAATTCTTACACAGCTTGTACGATAAAAACATTTGCAGGCTGATAATTGTAGTGAGAAATGACATGCTTTCGACGAGTGACAAGAATCAGCCATGTTCATACATGTTGCAGGTAATGATGCCCTAAATACTTGGATGTTATATTGTCACTTCAGGGTATTCTATATTGAGCAAGAGTTGAAATGTTAGTTCTTGTAAGAGTTCACGAATTTTCGTAGTGTTGTAGAGCAACAACTGTTATAGTGGCTTGAGTAAGAGTATAATATACTTTGTGTTATACAATAGTCTGTATTATGCAAAAAATCTAAGAAATGTTAGTACTATGTCCAGCTTTCTGGGTCAATATGCAAATGCATCTGCAAGATCTTTTAAAACAAAGTTCTCATAAGAGGGACAGATATGTATGGCCTCACCTAATTTGCATTTAGATTATTGAATATTCTTTTAAAATTATTATATCAAGTAATCAGGTTGAGGACCAAACTACAAACAGCACCAAAACAGCACCCCTTCAATACCTCCTACACAATGCGAGTGATACAGGGCTAAAATTCAATGTGCTAAATTTGGAAGAGAGGTGTTTACAGTGCCATAAGATACCCTCCTTAACATACTTTAGAGGCATGCATTCTGGGACTACAAGAAAACAAGGAAAAAGAAAGAGTAGCACTTTCCGTCATGATCATGATGGAAAGTGTTATGTTTCCGTTATGAACATGACATAGTTTCCACATCTTTCGTTTCAGCACACCACTCCCAAGATACACTTCAGATACGCATACCAACAAGCCTTGTGCTCTAAGAAAGTTACTTTAAAAGGATATTGATCAAAATTTTTCTGCCTAGATTCTTAACCCAAATAAAAACTACAGTGCTTAAAATCATCAAAAGAAATTACTAAAAAATAATTAATTGATCTTCTTTGTGAACCACTACACTTAGTTGTGCCATGAAACATAGGATGCGGCATTAAACCTACCAGGTATTGCACTCTAAGAAAAAAAGGTACCTATATTGGGCATATCTTTCTGCCATACAACAATAATTGTCATCTACCAAGCATGCTTTCTTTGCATTATCACTGCACACACAGTACATTTGGGTCATAAATAGCATGCTACTATCAGCGTTACATAAGACTCTTGATAGAAAAGTAGCAAGCACACAGTTTTCAAGGATAGAAGCTCAAGGTAAGCAGATAATTATTCTGTGGAAGAAAGATGCCCAAAATGCACCCTTTTGGCTTAGAATTAACCATGCTTTCACTTTTTTCACAGATATAGCCAGCAATCACCTGCGGCTCCATTCGTTTGAAGAGAGGCAAACAATGCATAGTGTGCACCTGCATTACGCTGTAATCTTGTTCTAGCTGGCATGTCTTGTGCCCAAACAAGCTCTGTGACTTTGAAATGAGATCTGTGATTCAGACAGTAGAACACAGAAGAATGTCTAAACACTGTTGCATGTAAGCGTGTGGAAACATTATTGTCAGGTCAGCTATTGCATGCCATTTCTTTGCGAGGTAGCCAAAATTGAATATGGATTTGCACTGTGAAACCATTCTGGTAAAAAAAACAAAGGCGACTTTCTTTGTTCAGAACATTTTGCAAAAAGTGAATATGAAACTGGCCCTGCTTTGCTGTGGAGCTTGAGTGTGTCTCTATGAAATGGCAGTGGCTGAGACCCAACAGTGTCCTTGCACCTGTACCTGCTACCATGCGTAGGTGTGATTTCACATTGATTGGTGCACAGCCCTGTGCACACTAACATGTTGCCACCATGTACTAAGAAATTAAAAAAGAAAGTATGCCTACCCATTCAAATCTGTGAAAAATAAACACTGCATATAGGAATAATGCCTTCAGAATGAAATTTTGGTGTCTTTTTTTTTTCATATTTTAATACATTTCTGCTCAGTATCCTTTTAAAGAAACAATGACATATAACTTCCACCTGATTTGTTTTATTTATCTAATAGCGTTTAACACAATATTTACATCATAAATACTCACTGTAAATGCTCACTCACTGTGCTACAAATAAATCGGCTCAAATACGACAAGAGCAATGTGGCTTCAACCATGGAGCAGGCACAAGGTTGTATCGCAACAATTACAAGTAGTGGTCGGCAGTTTCATAGCATGACAAGCCCACACGCAGAGCTCTTTTGTCTGTCAGCGCTATATGAGGCAGCAAAGTTGCAAAAAATTGTTTTGTAGGCGTGTACTTTGTAAGCAGGCACATGTCCTAACTCTTTTTAGAACTTAATTCTGTAATACAATGAAGATACACAGAAAAAACTGCCACTCCTACACAATAGTTAAAGATTTGGGCAATCGTACATTAAGCAGCCCACTGCAGATTTGCAAGCTGGTCACATTGACTAAAGATGGACTCGGACTGCAATCACGATTTTAAAAGTTGAGTGCCTTAAGCCACACAAGCTGCTAAAGCTACTTCAATAAAACTGACGACAGAATAACAAGGAAAGAAGTTTAAAGTGACCCTTTATAGTAATAAAGAAATGTTTTGCATAGGCCCATACCATGGCAAATATAAGTGCAGGGTGAGACATGAACTGGCTCATTTTGGAGTTCAGGAAATAATTGCATAGCATAAATTTTTCATGACAGTCATGGTGTAGCATGTATTAATTACACTAGCTGATTGGCACAAGTATAAGTGATTTTTGATAACTGACCAAACAATTCTGAGTGCTATCGTGTCACCTGCTTCCAGCGTTTCAGTGTCACCCGCTTTGCAAATAGTCATAGCTCCTCACTGCTTGGTATGCATTTTGAACTTTGCCTTTGGAAATCCTTTAATGCAGCTGAAGACTGCCACTAAAAAGGCTTGAACATGCCCAAGTGGTCACTGTGCCAGTGCATAGCTATGTTGACTGGTCCCTTGAAGGGACACTAAAGTGCAAAAAGATTTTTCGCCTATTAGTAAGGTACAATTTTTCAATCCTGAAAACAGCACAATTACCATGAAACAACGCTTAGTAAGCGAGACAACATGTGAAAAGACCACAACATTTACTGTGACACAACGCTTAGTAAGTGAAACAACATGTGAAAAGAAAATGCCGGTGGCCACACCACCTTGAGATTCCCACACCAAACAGCATCACGTAAGAAATTTTGGAGGCATCTACCGAGTCCTACATATCTTCCATGGTCATCTGCGGGTGCCATAGACTTAGCAGTACGAAGTTTGAGAAAATTTCATCGAGACAATGCCACAAAAATAAAAAAAAAACATTTTCAAGCGTCTGAAGCCATGTGGAGATTTTGTCGCAAAATTTAAAAATGAAACTTCAACCTTGACTTGTCTGCTAATAATGAACTTATGATAGAGAAACATATGGCATTAGAGCTGTCATAGTACAGTTTGTGAATCTAAACCAACTTATTGTTCCTCTTTAGTGTCCCTTTGAAACTCCTTTTTGCACTAATAATTTGTCTTGCAAACTTCCCCATTAGACTGCCACTCGACAGCTTGATCCTACAATGGCTGTCTTTGAATATAGTGCATGTAAAATACATCATAGATAGTCTTCCTATATCTGAATAAAGCTCAAGTATGAAGTCCACATTAGCTGGAAGAATCAAACTGAAGTAACTTCCCATTTCTCACGGCTCCCTGGCACTGTAATAGTGAAAAAAGTATGACCTCTTCAGATCTAACTTACCCTGCTGGAAATGCAGCAACAACTGAATTTTCAGCATATAGTATCATTTTAACTTGACAGAAAAAAATGCCAAATCCACAATAGTATTATGAGGCTCAAGATTAAATTTATCCATTGGCATTCCTTTGCGCCTATTATGATGAGCATTTTCACATTCTGTTCACGTCAAAAAGCAGCTTTCACTGCCTGCTATCAAACCCGCGACTGTACGTTCAGCTATAAACACACTACCAGAGCCAGTAAGCCACTTTGGTGGGTGTTGAAGGTGCAGAGCAGTCTTTTTTAAAATTTAAGTGCTGATGTTTAACATGAAATTATCAAAACAAATAGGACCTCTAAAATTGGAATTAACCTCCTAACTTATTCAATGGAAGTATCAGCTTCCAGAATTGAAGAATAATGGAATATATTAGTGCAGTGTAATATTTACAGCAGATTTAAAGAAAAACAAAGGCTTACCCTGCGTTTCTCTGCTTTGCTAGTTTTGCCCTGCTTCAGGGAGGGTTCATGCAAGCTTGTAGCATCAAATTCATCGGTCACATCATCCACCTGCACATACCATATTTATGTTCCAGTAATGTGTCGACTGCTCATAGATATATCTGCCACCGTGGATAAAAGGATGACTAAAATCATGTATTACCTCTGGCTGATTGCTGGCTACACCATTACTCTGATAGGCAGCAAACTCCTCCAAGTCTTTTTTCTGTTTTTTTTCCAACTCAGCTTCAAGTACAGCTACCTCTGCTGCAACATCTTTTTTTCTCTTTTTGTCACCCTTTGGCACAGAGTGCTTCAGGCTCTGAATTTTAGCTGAAATGAAAACAGAGATGACGCTATTTGACGAGCCCAACTCATAAAAACATTGCGTTAGTTTCAGTGAGTAGATGGCTAGTTTATTAAAATGGCTTAGGCTAAATTATTATTATGGTGGTAGGGTCAATGAAAACATTAAAATAGTTCAACGAATGAAGATTTGAGAGGTTCATCCTTCCAAGCCACCACGGTCGCACAGCTGAAAAGAATTCACTTGCAGAATAATGCAAGCTTGACGATTCCAAAGTGTGATAATTGACTTCTGTGAAAGGAAATGTCAGTTTCAAAAGTGACAAATCTAACAAAACAATAACTTAGGCTATCTTTTTTTTTCATACCAATAGTTATGTATGTTGTTGTACAGGGCTATGGTTGTAAAATAGATAGCTGCACGGACCCTTCGGAATATGGCACTGGGGGTAGTTACAACCACACGAATAAATGACCTCATGACCTTTGCCCCCCCCCCCCCCCCCCCCTCAAAGATGAGCGGAAGCTGACCTAAGGTGAATACGAGACAATCGCTCTCAGCAGACCAGTCGAGGCATTAATTACCCTCCAGACAGGTCTACGTGAGCAGTCACAGCAGAGTAGGGCAACCTAGTCAAGGGTCACTGTGCCTGAGAGGTCCGCGCACGATATTCTACAAGCGACGACCTGAGTACAAGAAGTTGTTCTTGGGGACGAAGGTAGTGCCCGGCTGAGGCACTACCCTCCAGCCCGAACTCAGTAGTCTCTCATAAGCTGAGCACAAACAACCTGGCTGCAGAAGCTGTGCTTGCCTCAAGCCCTGAGTCATCGGACCCCCTCGATCTATTGCCAAACCCTCGACGGCCCCAGAAAAGTAAATGTCAAAACAATGTCATTTATTTATTCATTCATTTCTTTCAAGCCTTCCTGCAATGAATTAGACCAGATTATGCTCAGCCAGTCACTGAGCGCTTCTACAGCAATGCCACAAGCACATGACGCACACTTGTGAGGGTGTCTACACTGTTACTGGCCTATTTTATTAAACACATAATACTACCACAGAGTGAATTTTCATTAGAACAAGTATTAACTTCTCTCATCAGCATCATTATGAGTTTTTAAACACAAAAACAGCATTGCTACATCGTACACCATAGCAGGAGGACGAACCAGGGAAAAGATATAATTTGCCAATCTCTAATAATTCACCATGTTTCTATGATAGCCAGGTCTGTTGACGTGAAAGATACTAACTGTCACTAGAAGATTTTTTTAGCAACCTTTATTGAAGGAGTCAAAATTAGCCTGAACCAAGAACCATACCAATATTAGTATTTTAGTGAGAGCTAAACCTGAAAAAATCTTGGGATATGCTTGAACCCAAACCAAACCTGAACAGAAAGACGTAACTGTTATCAATATAACACAAAATGGTTGAATATGTGGACTGACATAGGCCCTCCTCAAGGCCATGATTCTTCAAAACAACAATACCCGTACCTTCCCCATAACATTCATTAAAGACTGTCTAGCCATCGAGTATGCAAGAATGGTTACAAACTGTGTATCTGCTGGTAAACGTGGCAACTTCACCAGGGATAAGGAATGTTTGCACTGGAACCTCAGCCACTGTTGAATTCTTTTGACTCATGGCATTGAATCACTATTTGTGTTGAACCTCACAACTTGGCTGCTCAGTTTATAAGAGAGCTCATTTTTGTTGTTTTCCTTATCAAGTGTACTTCTGATTGCATGCCCCCAAAATTAGCTATGCCGTTGTTAATTGGTAACAATCCAAGGACAAAAACTCTTACTAATTAACATTGCCTTGAATATTTACAATAAATCCTAATTTTTATGCAAACAACTAGAGCACTGCATGTCACAGTAAAAATTTTGTGTGCCTATTGCAGCTAGGGTTTAAGTTTTTTATAATATTTTAATGTTTAAAAATTTTCCACTTGATTTTAGTGGAAATCAAGAAGAAGAAATGGACATAGGGGCGCACAGCGAGTAGGTAGGAGGTCACTGAGGGCAACCGACTGCATTGCAAGAGAAGGCAAATGCACAAGGGAAAGAATACGTTTGGTGGGCACATGAGTTTTCAGGTATAACGTGACAGCAGCAAGCACAGGATCGGGTTGATTGGCAGAACATGGGAGAGGCCTTTGCCCTGTAGTAAGCATGCTCAGGCTGATGATGCAATATTTTAAATAAATCATTGCTGAAACACAGTGGCAGTGACAGTGTGAGAAATCATTTTATGTAGTACACCTGGCACTCAAGGCGGACACAGCACAAACATTTTAAAAAATCCCTGACACAAAAAACTTGCATTTGTTATTTTCATAATGAAGAACTTATCCCAGCTGGAAACTCATTTGCAAGGGCGCAGAACAGTTAATTATTTAGAGACATTTTCATAGCACCCAGCTAGAGTTCTGGTTTCATCAAGCACTGAAGGTGGTGGAACCCAGAGTGATATTTTTGTTAACACCCGGAACATGTGAGCACACAGAACAGTGACACACTTGCCGCGTGAGCAACTGTGGCAGAGCACACATGTAGGACTTTGGCAAAATCTGTTCACAACTTGAATCAGCTTTGCAAACTGGTTTGTGAATTGTTGCAAATTTCATATGTACGAGCCAGAGCTGAAACAAAATCTGATTTGAGTTCCCTGAATGCAAGCTTGAACTGGGTTTTTTCTTTTTTTTTTAATAGTTCAGTACATTACTTTTAATGTGATGGCAATCTGCAATGGTGTTTATATTTACTTGTCCCTGTTAATACAGCTATGAAGATTACTTGAAATTATATCATTACAACTTGACTTTCTGCTCAGGTGGTAATCATTTGCAAATACAAAAAAAAAACAATTCAATCATAAACTAATATCAATTACCTTCTCAGTTACAAATTTAGGGTCCATGCATAACAAAAAGCTGAAAGGAATCATTGTAAATGCTTTATTAGTGTCTAGCGCATACCTGCCAAGTTCAAGGATTCTGAATCCGGGAGATTTCCGCAACGGGGGGGGGGGGGGGGGGGCTGAATTATTTGCCTCCTATACTTTTTCCAGAAGTCCCGTGCAGCAGAGCCAAAGCTACACGACCCGCGAACGCAGGTTGTTGCGAAGCGAGATGTAGTGCCCTGTATATGCAGCCTGTTTGTCCTCGTGACTATTGCAAGCGGTCTCGTCGAAGGATTTTTACTTGAAGGCTTCTCTATGTGTTGTAGCTGTGATTTGTATGACGATTTTGTCGCATTTTCTGTAGAAAAAAGTTTTTGTGGCTCCATCATATTGAAGAAAGAGTTCTTGCTTGTACGTGTTATAACATGAAAATGACGAAAGAAATAATGCTGTAGTGGCTCGGATGTGTTATGTTTTTACTTATAAAGTACGAAGGAGTGGTACCACACTTTTATGAGTAGTCCGCGTAGCCCGAGCGTCCACAGCGCCGCGGAGGACCCTGTCTTGGGTCCTCTCCGGTGGCGGGTTTGGTCACTCCTGCCAAAATTGCGGTGCCTGCTTCACCTGTGCGATATCGTTCCCGGGTCAGCTTTTATGACAAGGGAGCGAAGCAGATGGCTCTAAATGTGTTCGGGACACTGCAAGCATGAGCTCTCTCACTAAGAGAACGGCTGCTTTCACCAACCTCAGCGAACGTGCGCTGTACAAGTGAGTAGCGGAGCACGATAAGCTCGGCAAGGCACCGGGAATAGAGCCATTATTTCGTATCAAACGCGAGCGGCACTTCGCATGCTCATAGGCATGCGTATACGAAATCTGATAAAGCGTGGTGCTTTCATATTCAATTTGGCTAATGCGGCGCTTTCCACCGAAACATGAGCCACTGAACCCTATCCCTCATATGTCTACGTGCAAGTATCTTGAAGACGCCTGCTTTTACGGTGCCGAGGAGAATATTTAGCCGCTTTCACAATTACAGCTCATCTCACTGCACAGTTGCACGATGTCCCAAGACACTCTTGCCGCTTTCGCTGCAGCGCACGTCGCTAGCAGGCGACAGGGCGCGTTAGGATACACTTAAATGTGCTTGCCCTCCTGATTGGTTGAGAAAGCCTGTAGCTTCCACAGTGCTGCACGGAACTTCTGGAACAGAGTATAGTTGTTTTTTTTCGGCACAAAAATAAACCGTAGACAAACAAACATCACGAAAAACAAGGGGGAGGGGTGGGGGTTTCAATCGCAAGCGCCACCATCAGCGTTGCAGTCTTATGGTGGCTTGGAGTGGCCGAACACACGAGGGTAGGGTTTCCCACTATGGTTAAAGTCTCAAAAGATCAACACAACTAACAGAATCTATTTCCGTCAAAACAACTCGCTTAGGTCTTCCCGGGACACACGTGAACACGGGACGCCGTAGCTGGCTGTCGCAAAAGCACGGGTCAAAGCTTTGCTCACTACTAAATTTTTACTTTTGACAGGAACGCCAAAATGCGTCAGGCCCTTTTTATTTATTACGATAGCAATTATATGGGCCGTATAGGCTGGTTTTCTTGCCATCGCCGCCGTCATTCACCGTACGTATACGTATCTATATATATATGAACACTATAAAACTCCCAAGCATTTCCCCGAGAGTGAACATGGTTAAGTGCGAATGCACGGGGTGATGCCATCAGGGGGAGTAAAGTTAAAATCCATTGGCATTCGCCAGTGAGTTAACGTAAACGTGTGATCACATTACGATTCCCAGGAACCATTAGACCCTCTCGGGAAATCTTGGCGAGTTTACGCGTACATGTGAGAGTGAATTCGCACTATAACGATGTTTATGTCCGCGACCTGCTTCGCCCGCTTGCGCTCGGCATCACGGGCCCTTCGCCGCGCTGCCTTGTCTTCAACCGGTTTGACATCTTCAACGACGCGTCCAATGCTTGCATTCGATTGCGTTGTACTCGTTGTTCGAGGTATCGCAATCGAGGTTGATGGCTGCGATGGATCCATACCTATGACGACTTGACAATCTCGAGTAAGTCGTGGCTGCGCGGGCCCG